TGATAAATCAGCACGTGAACTGCACACATAAATAATTTTTTCAAACTGCGCGAGCATGCCCCAGCTTCCGAGAAACGATTTCGCAAATACTTTATTGTTCTATCCAACAGCGTTACGTTAATACGCGTTATCCGATTTTTAAAAAGCGAAAAGAAAAATGCTACAAGCGCAGCAGTGCGAGAATAATAATGCAGCTGATCCGTAGGAACGCAGCCGCATCATCGGCGACGACATTATGCAGATATCGTGTGGTTAATCGCTTCACGGGGAATAGACAATATCTTGCAATCTATTAATCGCCCGATTGATATGCCAAGCTTACGAGCGAAACCTGTCGGTTTCAATTCTCGAGCCGCGACGCTCGCGTCAAATTCAGAGCCACCGTATACTCATTCATGCAAGAAACGTCCCAATTGACGCACTCCGGGAGCCGCGGATGATTCACAAACGCTCCCTGAATGGAGATCTTACCACGATCTCTTTGAACACGGTATCTGACTATAATTGATTTGCAGATTCATTTTCCCGACAACTCTATTATTTTTTTATCCACTATTGTTAAAGTAAAAATAACTCTATTATTGTAATAATTAATCAAATCAATTTAATTTGCAATCGTTCATTCATTTTCATTTCGTAGCCTCAGATAATAAGAATATAAATTCTAATTTATTATTAATTTGCATCAGCATTTTTCTAGCACACTTGAAATATATGCGTATAACGAGAAGAAAAAGGAATAACAATTTACATCTATGCCGATGTATCTACGAATCAATGAATTACGAATCTACGCTATATAACGAAACATGTGATGAAACTGTAGAAAACCTTCAAAAAGGATCACGATCGCTTTGTAACCGAGAGATTCTTAAGCGATTACATAGAGCGTTTATACTGGTTTCCCGCGATGCGAACAGGTGTGCCACGTTCTCCTTCGCATCGCGGCCGTTCTCTTCAATCATATCTCTAGCTAGAGGCAGACCTTAAAGCTTACGTTCCTGTAAATTACTTGCGTCGCGATAATGACGAACCGCAGGAAATCGTATCCGCAAACATTTCTCCCGCGACCTCGTTCGCCAATTATCTTACATTGTTACCTCGCTTAATCAGAGTTTCATTAAGCGGAGACCTTTGCCGTTTCTCAAACTACAAGTAATTTCAGCATATGTAACGCGTTACGGATGAGAAGTACGCGTTAAACATGCGTAACGTCTTTATGAGTGCGAAGCAATATAGAATATATTAATGATCATAAAACGATGCGACAAGGACTTTCTGCTACATTCTATTTATTGTAGATTCTATGCACGGTAAGAGTCGACGATTGTAAATATAATTAACTATGATGTGATCCTGTAGCTGAATTTAATTTGTCTAATGATAACGGGAAATGTATTAATTAAATGATGATTGGAACTTGCTTTTAATTATGATACTTCCTTATAGATATTATCATTGATATTATTTGTAGGAATCTAGCACTATCTTAATGACCTGTTCGGATTGGAGTTACCTTTCAGGAAACTTCATAGAGGAATCGCGACCGGTGCTCGGGAAAGGAGCACAGATAACGCGTACCTCCACGAATGACCTAGTATCGTACGAGTCTGTTACCTAAGCAGTCATCATAGACATCAACCGAGCTACTAGACCAGACGGTGTGGACGTTGATCTCGGCTGTACCGCTTCTGTTCTCACGCAAAAACAAGAAGCGAGAGGTCTGTTAAACGGTAGACCAAGAGCCACCAGATCTGGACCGAAATCGATGACTTAGATTTTATAGTTTTTACCGCTGTGTGTACACATTGTATTTTGTCAGATTGTGAATTTCACGCTTCGCGACGATTGAATTATGCAACGACGATGACGTGAGAAAATAATTTGTTGGTAAAATAAAAAAATCTATTCAAAGTAAGAAAAGAATTTCTCACAAGAAAAAAAGAAGTTATTTATAAGGTAGATAAAAAGATTGATACTGCTCGTATCGTCATTCAGATCAATTAATATTTAACTGATCTGAATGAGACCGAGGTTACGAATGAGACCAATCGTTTCTCGATTCGATCGCTTCCTCAATTTATGTAACTGTATGTAATTTAAGTGAAAGAATTATTCTACCGGTCAGCTGGCGCGGGAGCGCACAGAATCATATTTCTCGCGAAAGCTATTTCCTTTCGCCCGATACACAGATCCGTCGTTACCGCGAATTATCTATCCACGCTCAACTAGGCATTTGTGACGAAGTTCGAAATCTCCCTGAACAACGCAGTAACGATCCTTTTGCAGCTAAGGTTCGCGTTAGGTTCACTCACTCAGTTCGCCAGTGCCGCAACATCCCTATTTGCGAAATCATTTTGTGCTTAATGAGCGTCGCTCGTTTCGGTCACCGCAATGCCGAAGCATTAACATCGTAACATTATTTTATCCAAAATTACACTGCTAATTTCTACCCTGATTTTTTTCATCAACTAAGACAAGGATACAGTGGTCAAACTTGATAGATCGCTCGTAAAAAATGATTCTAATATCACCGATCGGATGATTGACTCCTTGTTACCATTGATAGTTCGACGTACGGCAATTAATCTTTATTGAGCAACAACTTCATTTACTGAACGCGCTCCCATCGAGGAGTGTTCGTATCGTTCTAGAAAATCCATGCTCCGCTTAACACCCACGGCGAACGTGCTCTGTTAATTTCAGTGAAGGCACGAAATATTTCCCGCCTCCGACAACGCGAAATGGATCGAGAAAATTGGATCAGACCGGTTTTCCTACATCACAACGATTCTATCTCGTTATTTAAATAGACACCTTGCAGCAATGTCGAGTAATTGTAACGTTTCGCATTAAGTGTCCGGTCAACGATTCCAATACGTTTCACAATAAAATGACCACACATTTAAAGACAGAATGTGTGCACAAGGGATAAAAATTAATACTACGTGAAAATTGTGAAGAAACATAAAAGTAACCAAAGGTTAATGTGTGCACGAGTATGAAGAACTAAGTAAATGTCATGAGTAAGTTGGTTACTCTTGGTGGATACTAAGGATAATGTAACTGCAATCGAAGGGAGTATACAGAACAATAAGATGTAATTCACATGGCCTTGAATAAGTTTCTTCAACTATACTACCTTCGTATCATTATTTAAAAGACTTCTAAGATTATACTAAAATATCTATATATTTTAATAAGTCGTCTACTTGAAAATGTTTTAAAAGCCAAGGTAGATTTCTACGTTAATATATTGCCTGGCTCATCGAATGCAGTGCGCAGTAATTTAACAACAACCGCATTGTAAAACTATTCATGCATTCCTATGCGTATATACACACGTGCAACGTCCACCAGAGTGGAATGTCAAAAGCACAGACCGCGTGCGTCAATGAAGGAAATCTCTCTTATTGTACGCAGGATATGGAGAGTGACGACGATTGGGAAATAGGATTTGCAAATCGAACCGATGTTAATGACCTCACATTTGCATTAATGAAATTTAACCTCATAACTTGTAACTAACGAGTCTGTCGAGAATATGGTAGATCTTATACTACGAGAAATATCTTTTCCTATAGCAAGTGGGAACAGGCGTTTATACACACAACGAAGAACTGAACAAGCCGAGAAAGTCCAGAGCGTGGATTCTACGAGTTTAACCATGCTCGAAGAAGGATATCTCACGGGCCAGTTAGCCTACTTACGAAGAGCGAGACTCGAAATTCGACTCCTCGTCATCGCGACCGGTTCCTACTCATTTTCACGGTATTGACCGCCGGCGGTTCACGAAATAGAAGAAAAAATTATTGATTCACCCTGTCCGATGGTCAGCGTTTACCTAAGAATTGCGTAATAAACACGAACGATTAGCCGTGGTCGATGTGCCGAACTCGCGTCTTCAACTTGTGAGCTTCGATTGAAAGAGATTTCAAAATCCAGCCTCCGTGTCACTTTCGAGTAGAGAAAGTCGTGCAATTCATTTTGCTATTCGCAAGATTTATGGAAAACTTTCGTTAGAAATTCCTATGGAGCCCAGAGGTCGACTACATAAAAAAATTAGCATCTTAATAGAAGATGCACTTCTCCATCTTTTAGACATCTATTAATTAGAAATATTTTGTTCTTGTTTCGTTCTCATTTTCTATGCTACGTATTCTGCAAAATGTGAAGAATAAAATTCAAATTTGCTCTCGCGCATGCGTTTCATTATCAAGCGCCGCTGGTTTAGTCAATATACAGTTTAAATAACATTGGAAAGGAAGTTAATAGGCGCAGTAGGGAACTCGATAAATTACAATTCAGAACATGATTTTTTATAACGTTTTTGTGTAAGGTAATTAATCTTTCTAACATATCGTGATTTTAACTCGGAGTATGGCTGACTAACATCAGTAGCAGACGGCAGCTAAGTCGTCTGCTAGGAACAGCTGACAGCTCTACCGGATAAAAACGTGGTTTCACGAATTTCGTTTGCGATATTAAACATGTTTCACTTTCAGTTTTATAAATTTAACATTTGTAATATACAAATACAAATGAAAATATACAAACCACTTACTATATTTTCGTATCACAGACTTAAATTTTTCATCGAAGAAACACGATTTACCGACACATTTTACTAGACATTATGTAATTTACGTAATCCACAGGACTTGCAATTTCGTACGTTTTATTATTGCTCACACATATTTAAATTTCTAGCTATTAACTACGTGCATGAATAAACATAGTAATGTAAAAAATATCGAGTATAACACTGTCAAACAGTATTTATAGTCCAATAGGAAAGTAGGTTAGGTCGATAATCACGATGAAATTACACGCGATATTTAACTAAAAATGAATGAAACGGACAGATCTTTCACATGGATTAAAGAATACTAACGCTGTTATTATTAACGCAGATGATTTGAAAACGTATTGCAGTCATATAATTCTAATAATGATTTCTCTTGTATGGTAACAGTATCATGAAGTAAAATTTAACATACCTGACAATGTTGAACTAAAGTACTTGTCGGATGTTCGATTCTGGGTCGTGACTTGACACATGTCGTGGAAACTTTCCTTCGTAATTGGGCGAAATGTCCAAACTGGCACAATTTCTCTGCACGAGCACAGAGCCTACTCGACCCTATACACGCCATAGCGAAAACTGTAGTGAGCCGAATCACACGACTCGTAAAGACTTTCGAGTTCCACCAGTCCCCACCGAGAGTACAAAATCAGTTCCCCACTCACTTTTCCCTTTCCCTTTCCCACTCGTAAATACACCTGCACGCGGCATTAATCGAAAAGGTATTAAAAATTAGGCGAGATTTAAACTGTGTTGACAGGCATCTCGCACAAATATATTAAATTGATCTATTAGCGACCTCTGAAAAATATCGAGCACGTTGTCTTTTTCGTTAAATTCTTATATAGATTAATTTGTCATC